TTTCATGGATTAGCACCTTATTCACATTTTCCTAAGTAACTAAGATTGGGAATTTATAAAAGTTTAGTTACTTAGTATTTATCATTAATACTTTTAATGAAGGGAGAATTATAGTCCTTGTCCTACCTGTTCGGCTAACGACCCTCCACCAGTCAAGGAAGCGGTGGGTGAGAGTGGACACCCATTAAACTGCCATTTTATAGGCAGTAACCTTATACCCCCCCTTATAGACCGGCTTCGTGAATGAGGCCTACTAATGGTAAGACGACTTGCTCTTATACATATAATATATTAAACTTTTAATATTATAATAGTATAAGGGTGTATTTTAGACATTTAAAATACTTGGTGGTTTAATCTATTAATTAAACTATACTCTTAATTTAATTAAATTTAAACCATGTCATTATGGAATTATTAATTCTCTTTTAATTAAACACTTTAATTATCTATTAATAAAGTCCATAAGAGTTAATTGAATTATTCAATAAAACATCATAATTCCAATTATTAAATTCAAAATTAAAACCATTTAATTAATTGTTTAAGTTATGAACCCAAGAGTTTTAGAATTCAATTCTTTTTTTTATTATAAAAAAAACTTTTTCCAATTCCAAAACTTGAGGGCAAGTTTTGTAACTCTTGAAACTTTTGGATTCCATAACTTATGGAGTTAAATACTTGTTTTATGATGAAACTTTTCATGTTCCATAACTTAAGAACAAGTTATGGAATTTTTTAAAACATTAAGACCAAGTTTTGTAACTCTATAAAAAACTTTGAATCAATTTTTTTAAAAACCTTTTCATATCCATAACTTATGGAGGTTTCAAAAACTCTTTAGATCAAACTTTTAAAACTAATAAAATAATCATATCATTTTATCTTTTACTAAATTTGACCTAATTCAACTCATATAGCAAATGATTCAAATTTTACAAATAATTAGTTTTTCACAAAAACAAGTAATTATCTTAAAATTTGACAAACGTCATGTTTTTTTTTTTTTTTTTTTTTCAACTTTGAAAATAAAACATTTGCATCAATATAACAGAAAACAACCCATGGCTCTGATACCACTGTTGGGTTTTGAGCATTCTAACACTCCTATGGTGTACATGCAACCCTATAAACCTTGGATCTATGTTTTCTCTATTATACATGCAAATATTAACTATTCCAAGGTTTCATCCAAACTAGCATATTATGAAGCACCTATACTACAAAGTTCTAGTTAGATGACATACCTTTTGATGTAGCTTGATGTCTTCAAGCTTTAAGAGCTTAGACCCAATAGTGTGGGAGCCTCAAATGGAATCACAAATCACCAAAACACCTTGGAAGAACTTGAGAGAATATGTATGCACACTAAAATCGGCCCACTCTTATTTTCACACACTTGTGCCAATTTTGTGAGCCAAGGACCCCTTTATATATTATGGAGGATTAGGGTTACATCCATGTAAACCCTAATATCCATGACCTTTCATTTACATAGGATCCATGGGTTAAAAGCTCCATGGACCATCCATGAAAGCTTAGCCCAACCTAAATGAACTTGGCCTGTTCCATATATATAAGAGTCCATATTTAATTAGTTCTTTTTTGATCACTTAATTAATTCTTGATCAATACTAATTAAATAATATGATTTCATATTAATATATTAGAACTTATAATATATTAATATAAATCATAAATATACTATTCTCAAAAGACTATCCATATAAATTGTGCCGGTGAAGTGCAACCCAAATGGACCATGCCCGGGTCGGGTCAAATACATACCAAATATAGTTATGGACTTAGACATTAATCCAACACAATCTCAGATCGATATGAGGTAGGGTGAAGTGGGGTGAGATAGGATGGGGGTAGGGGTTGGTGGGGTGGGGTAGTGTGGGATGAGGTAGGGTAGGGTAGGGTGGGGTGGGTGGGGTGTGAGTGGCGTTGCAGGGTTTGTGTGATGTTAGTTAAAATAACAAAAATTGGAAAATGAAAACTCATAGAAAAATGCACATCTAAACATGTTTTCTAATTTTCTAAAACAGAAAATGAAAAATGAATCAGATTTAACTAAACGCGTTTTTTTAATTTTCCAATGAAAACTGAAAACGAAAAACGAAAACTAAAAACGGAAAATAGAAAATGAAAACTGTTTTTCCACAACTAAACGCAACCTTAAGCTCTTCAACCAACGGCCTAAGGTAAACATCCATATCCTTACCAGGTGCTTTCAGGTCGGGAATCAACAAAGTCAACATGAATGATGACTCTTTCATACAAAGCCAGGGTGGCAGATTGTATGTGGTGAGTATGACCGGCCATGTGCTATGTGGATTACACATGTTTCCAAATGGATTAAAGTCGGGGTATTTTCTTATCAAAATCTTGCCAATGTTCCCCATCAACAGGATGACGCATCACATAATCTTCTGATCGTTCGGTACTATGACAAATCATATTTTTGGTAGTGTGCCTCGAACAATATAAACGTCGTAGTCTAGGGGTCACCGAAAAGTACCGTAACACCTTATGAGATACTTTCTTACCCTTGGTGTTTTTATCGATCCATCAGCTCTCTTTACAAACGGGACAAACCTGCAATGACTTGTGTTCTTTCCAAAAGAGAAAACAATCGTTTTTGCACACATGTATCGACTCATACCCCAGACCAGTAGACTTCAGTTTCTTTTTGGCTAGATAATGTAAAAGGGGAACCTTGTTGCCTTTGGGAAATGCTGATTGCAACGACTCAAGGATTTGATCAAAAGAACTATCAGTCCATTTGTTGTTCACGTTGATATGCATTAACTTTGCTAGAAACTCAAGGGAAGAAAAGGTGCAACCAGGATACAATTTAGTTTCCACTTCTTCTAACAACTATGCAAAATCATCATCCACACCGCTAGCCCTTGTATTTGAGGTTCCTTCATCGAGGTTGGTATCATTTTCTCTCGACTCCCACATCACATAGTCGATTAAATCGGCCATTTCGTTTCTTGGCAAGACAACTAGAGGAATTAAAGATTCACCATGATAGATCCAAGTTGTATACTACTTACTGAAACCATTTATAAATATATGACGTTCCACTGCTGCCAGGTACTTGAAGTAACTGTTATCACATTTTTGACACACACATCTGATTTTACCATTACTATCAAGGTGTGACTTGGACTTCTCGATAAAAGCTTTGAGTCCTACTTGGAACTCGGGATGGTTTCGATGTGAATTACTAGTCTAGCTTTTATGAATAGACATGATGTTGCTGAAACATAATTTCGGGTTTAGAGTTTAGTCTACGAAATTAACATTGTTTTTTTACAATCTACATTGTTTTTTTTTTTTACAAAAATTAACATCCCACTTTATTTGTAACATTGTACTTTTATAGCATCTTACTATTGTACATTTTTATATTTTTATTATTTATAACATTTTTTTTGTTTTTTTTTTCCAATTATAGCATTGTATTTTAAACAAATATATTATGTTCTTGTTTCTATTGTAGTGGTTTACTTTATGTTTTCTAAGACATGCAGTTTATTTCTTCGCGTTGTATAATAATTAATGAAAACTTAATGTATTAAGTCACGTGATTATTTATTATTCTTTTAGTAATTTATTACAATTACATTTTGTTTCTTTTTTACCGTCTAGATTAATAAATATATATACCATAAAAGTAGAGTTATTACTTATACAATTTGGTATATTCGAAATCACATTTACCTCTTCGGATTCAATATAAATACACACACCTTAAATGGTTGTTGTTAATCATTTCAGTATTAAGAATCATTTTAAAAATCATTAAAGTTAGTTAAAATTCGTTTAATAAATTTAGCCCAATGAATATATTGTCCTTTATTTTTATGTTTTTAAGATTTTCAAACAAGTATAATAGAATTTCACAAAAAAAAGAAAAAAAAAGACCATGCTTAGATAAATTTAGACTTTGATAATCAAAATATGTTTTATAAAGTTATAAATAATTTGTTTATTTTGTATATACTCGTTAAATAAACTTTTTGTTAACATAACTTATTAGTTGCTTCATAGAATAATTTATTATTATATTAAAAACAAATGACCTAAAATCAAAATCAAATTAGTAAACATTGAAAAAAAACATTTTTAAGAAAAAACAACTATTTGCTTCTTGCATCCTAGAAAATAACTATTTGCTTCTCATCTTACACCAAATTTTATAACATTTTATTTTTGTTTTTTTTTCAATTATAGCATTGTATTTTAAACAATTATATTATGTTGTTTTTTTTAATTATAGCATTGTATTTTAGACATACATATACCACATATACACCAAATACACATACATTCACATACAGACATAATATCATCCTACTTATACCAAAACCACATATTTCACATAATACATAAGAGCATCAAATACACATACATATACCACATATACACCAAATACACATACATTCACATACACACATAATAACATCCTACTTATACCAAATACACATACTTTCACATATATAGATAATAACATCCTACTTATACCAAATACACAAACTTTCACATGCATATACCACATACATACCAAACACACATACATTCACATACACACATAATAGCATCCTACTTATACCAAATACTCATACTTTCACATATATAGATAATAACATCCTACTTATACCAAATACACAAATTTCACACTCATATACCACATATACACCAAACACACATACATTGACATATATACACCAAACTTTAATATATTCACATACATATATCAAATATACACACATATGCCAAATTTCACATAATTTATACAATTACACATATTTTGCAATTAAACTCGAATTTCATAGTAAATAGAAGTAAATAGAACCTGTGGTGGCGGAAATCAAAGAAATGGTACAGTGGTGGCAGTAGTCGTCGGTGGCGATAGCCGGGAAACTAAATCAAAAACTGAAATTGACAATTTTTTGCAATTAATCACTAAAATAAGCTAAAAATCGATGTTACAAGAGAAAAGAGAGAGGGAACTAAGCTGGAAATACCTGCCGTCGCTGGAGATTTGTCTTCGGTCGCCGGGAATTCATCCTCAGTCGCCGGTGTCTCTACTTTGCCCGCCGGTATCTACTTCACCGTGGCCGGAATTCCTCAATTTCGATGGTGATGGTGCATGAATGCTTGTGAATCGACGAAGAAGAGGGAAAGAAAAAAACACAGAAGCAGATGGAGCGAAACAGAAGTAGAAAAAGAAAAGGGCGTCGATTTTTTTTGGTTAACTGCGTCGACCTTCACCGGCGACGCAAGGGGCTTTAGCGGCGACTCTTATCAATAGCGTCGACACTTCGGAGGGAATTATTGCCGAATCATTTATTCAACATTTAGCGGCGACAGGGTTAGGTCTTTAGCGGCGACTTGTGTCGGCGATATTGGTTTTGTGCGTTCCACGAATACCCCAGCCATTGGATTAGAAACATGATCCAACGGCTGTAGTTTAACAGAACGTGAAAACGCGGATCCGTGTCATTGATCTTTAGCGGTGACATGTACATTTAACGGCGACAAATTGATATGTCACCGCTAAATGGCCATGTCGCCGCTATTGGTGTCGCCGGTAATGACTGTATTTTTTGTAGTGTAAGAATGATAATACTGTCAATATTAAAAACAAAAAATTAAAACCAGGATATAGAGTTGTCATTTTCACATACTTAACAGATGAGTTCTTAACAAAAATGGAGTAAGAACCATAATCGTTATAAAACATGCATCAAAAAGAAAAACCAAAACTGAAATCCAATTCTTTAAACACCAAACTGAAAAAAAAAAAAAAAAAATTAAACTCAGGAACCAAATTAATTTCTAAGTTGCTCTATTGGTATTTTACATGATTTTAAAGTTTGACTATTTAGTTCTAGAATTCAAAAATGAAAATTGATATAGGTGTAAAGAGTTAAGGTGCAGCATGTTCAATGCCTCTTCGACTTTAACCCACAGTCAAACATGCATGGAAGCGTTTTACCATTAAAAAAAATAGGGAGGCGATTGACTTTTGGTATAACGTCTCAATTATAAATGATTCACCATGAACTGAAGATCATATAGAAAAGATATCAAGCAAAGATCACGCTGTTGAGAATTTTAAAGTTTGCAGTGAGGTTGACAAGAGAAGCACGGAGATCCCAAAGGTTGCTGGTCAAACTGAGTCAACTGAAAAATCTGTAAATCTTGTGATAGCATTAAGTGAAGAGGAACTTGAGGCTACGATTAGATTATTCAAAAGAAAATCAATCATTATTCAGAATCTGCTAATGGGATTGATTTGTTGATATTTGTTTTGTATTTTTCTTCATTTTATTTGTCAACGATCATAATTTGTGACATTTTTTCTCAGCCGTTTGATCAACATGCAAAGAAATTCTGAACCAGAGGTTGATATGGAAGCTAAGGAAGAAAGAATTCCAGGTTTATATCCATCTTTTCGTGACTCTGACAAATTAGAGTTTGGATGCAAACATTACAAGCGGAACTGCAAACTTCTTGCTTCCTGTTGCAACAAATCATACACTTGCAGACACTGCCACGATGAGGCGACTGATCACTCAATGGATAGGTATGACTAATTAAGGCCTGTTTTTTTTTTTCTTTTTTCTTTGTTCTAATAAGTGCTGTATGGATAAATGATGTTGTTTTGATGAGCTAGTAAGTGTTGTATAGACAAAAGCTGTTTCTTTTTTTAGAAGGAATGAATGAGTAAATGACCATTTTACCATTTGCATATCTATTAAGTAGAAAAACTGCCCTTTTATATATGTCCCCATTAAGACCCTTAAGTAAATTTTGAGTAAATGACCATTTTACATTTGGACTAGATGAACTGTCACAATGTAAGTTTCAAACATACTTTTGTATTGCTTTTGATCAACATGCAGAAAAGCGACAACCATGATGATGTGCATGAAATGCTTGATAATCCAACCCATAGGTCCAACATGTTCAACCGTTTCATGTAACGGTTTATCCATGGCCAGATACTACTGCTCAATCTGCAAACTTTTTGATGATGAGAGGTGATTTTATCAAAAGTGTAGTTCCTTTAATCTGTGTTTTATTTATGCATTTAAGCATATCCAGAAAGAAATAATATAGATTTCTGTTAAAAACAGGCAAATCTACCACTGTCCTCACTGTGACCTCTGCAGAATTGGGGAAGGCCTGGGGATTGACTTTTTCCATTGCATGAATTGTAATGCATGCATGTCAAAGTCTCTTTCGAAGCATATTTGTAGGGAGAAGTGTCTTGAAGTCGATTGTCCAATATGCCATGAATACATCTTCACATCAAGCACTCCTCTTAGAGCACTTTCCTGCGGTCATATAATGCATTCTTCTTGTTTTGATGTATTCATCTCTTCTATTACCTTTCCTTTTTACAGATAACTTCAAGAAATTGCTTAAAACACTTCTTAAATGACTCTTTAATGTTGCTGGTGTCAGGCATACACGTCTACTAACTATACGTGTCCAATATGCAGCAAGTCATTGGGGGATATGCAGGTGAGTAACTTTGCATATATCACGTTGCTTTTTTTTTTAATTTCATTTTCATTAATTATTTAATTCAAGTTGATTTTTTATCATCTCCCAGGTATACTTTGGGATGATAGATGCAATGTTGGCTGAAGAGACAATTCCGGAAGAATATGCTGGCCAGACTCAGGTTGATTAATACTAAACACACACTGACACACACACAAACACTTGATGCATGTTGTCAAGATTTTAATTTGAAAAGTGACTTTTCAGGACATTTTATGCAATGATTGTGAGAAGAGAGGAACTGTATCGTTCCATTGGCTGTATCATAAATGCCCCAGTTGTGGTTCCTACAACACCCGCCTTGTCTGAGTTGGATATAATGTGAGTGGGCTTTAGTTTAAGTTCTTTGGTGTTGCATAGAAGCATTATCTTTAAAGTATGTCATAAAATTTAAGTATCTTATGTAGACACTAAAAAAAGCTTTTATTTATACCAACATTTAGAAATGGAAGATTGGTTCAATGCTATTAGAAGAATTCATGATGTACACAACATTTTAAATGATCAGAGTTGCCTACAGAAAGATATACAAAAGATTTTAAGCAATAAATGAATCCAAGTAAAAGTAATTTGCATACCTTTTAAGTTGCAGACACTTATGTGACTAAGGGACTGCATAGATATGCCCGAGTTGCCGCTGAAAGTCGGATCAAGATTTAGAATTATGCTACAATGCTTATTTACTTGAAAGTTGTGTATATGTTGTGTGTTGTCAGATTAAAATAAAATTAACTAGGATCAAACTAAAGCACTATGTTGATTCTTCATTCAGCTGGACCATTTTTTGTATAAATATGTATTGAATGGTAGTACATATATACTGTATTAATTTTGTGTGTAAAGGCTTTCAATGGTTGCATGCTATCTCCTTGGAATCAAGGATAGGATTTCAATGATATGCATCCGTTCTGTTAACTTATGTCTGCCTATTTTTTCGGGAATATTTTTGTATATACTCGTAATTACTGGTATATATTATTGTATTTGTATGTTTGTTTTTTACACTTCTTTCTTCGATGGTGTGTGTATATATATATATATATATATATATATATATATATATATATATATATATATATATATATATATATATATATATATATATATATACACACACACACTAGCCGTTTACCCGCGCTAAGCGTCGGGCGGCAAAGAGTTTCTTTCGGAAGATAGTTTTAATGTGATGATTAGTTTCCTTTAGACGTGAGCTATTCATTGCGGCCATTTGGTAGATTAGTTTGTGTCGAATAGTTCATTTCAACGCATAGTTTCTTGCTAGGTGCATAGTCATACAATACGACAGAAGTTGAGTCTACATTTGGAATTTCATCTAATAGTTCATACTTGATTTTACAACATATAAATAACAACAATCTGCAATCATGTAGTTTTGTACATTTATAACATGTCTAATATATAAACTACACCAATCTGCAATCATGTTGCTTCATCTGCTAGCTCTGCATTAAACATCAAATGAGCATCTAAGATACATATTTGAAGAAATTGTAAAATAATAAGTTGTTGATTGTACCTTGTTAATCACATAAAACTTCTTTGTACACAACGTTTGATGTGTAGATTCCATCATTATCAAACGTTTTTTCCGGCTTTACTAATACCTTGGTATTGACACGTGATATATATTCCTCTGGACAACGCCACATAAAGCTGGTCATGTGAGAATACCGATTCTGGTAGATAAACACCTACATTTGGAATTGTTTGTCCTTGAGCTTTATTGATTGTCATGGAGAAACTATGCTGAATTGGAAACTGCTTTCTCTTTAGTTTGAATGGGAACATCCCATCGTCAGACGGGCATAGAGGAATTCTTGGTAAAAACACTCTTTTTCCAACATGTTGGCCAACAGCTATCTCTGCATCAATGACATTTTGGGAAAGCTCGACATATCAATCTGGTGCCATTATATAACCCATTTGAAGGATCGATATTTCGCAAAAGTATTACTGGGCACCAAGTTTTTAACCGAAGATAATGAGGGGGTACACCACTAACATTTAGCGAGTTCAAATATTCCATCGGATATAAGTTATTTTTGTCATCTTTCGCTTCATCAAAACTGTAGTAAACTTTTTGCTCGCCAGAAAATCGTTCGATCAACTTATTATTGATCTCATCAACACTTTCATTTTTAGTTGACAATATCGCCCTCTAAATGATAAATTTTGAATCGGTGTCGTTGGATTGCAAAGAAGGAAATATTGCATCAATCAGAGCGTCCACTGAATTAGGTTTATTAGTGTATGGAATGGACATGTTATCAGGTATACGAATAAAGGACTCATCCAATGTTTCCTCCTTTCCATCACCGACTCGTAATAAAAAATCAGAAAACCATGGGTCATTTACCGCTCTCATGTTGATATTTAATCGAAGCCTTTTAACTGAAGCCCATAGAGGTGACATTCGTAAGCTAGAGTCCACAATTTGTGCTCGAGTGCCACGTCTCACGAACGGAAACACTTGTCTAAAGTCACCTCCCATAACCATTATCTTTCCACCGAAAAGGAGCTTCTCATCTGTGATGTCTCGCATTGTCCGATCAACTGCTTCTACCGCCTGCCTCTTAGCCATTGCTGCTTCATCCCATATGATTACCTTTGCCTCGCGAAGTATCTGACCCTTCCCGCTTTGTTTAGTGATCTTGCACATCGAGTTATTATCAAGATTGAGGGGAATTCCAAATCGTGAATGAGCTGTTCTCCCTCCTGACATGTTGTTAGCCGCAACACCTGACGTGGCAGTTGCAAGTGCAATAAGACCACGGGCACGAATATTGGCCAATAAAGCTTTGTACAAAAATGTCTTTCCAGTTCCACCGGGACCATCTATGAAGAACACACCCAGAATATTTTCATCCACATGCCTCATTATCTCATCATATGCAAACTTCTGGTCTGGATTAAGAGAGTCACACGCAAGTAAGTCTTTATTTTCCACATTTATAGAGTACTCTTCTTGCACCTCACGATAGCCTCTGGATTGTAAATCGATGTGTGCACTGACATTTGGAAGGTCGTAATCACTAAGCTTTTTACTCATAGATTCTAGGAAGACTCTAATGTCGATGAGGACCATATTTTGCACTCGTTCGGCACATCCATATTGTTTCCTATAATCTTCAGAAAGAGAATCATAGTGGTCGTCACATAACTTGCGAACATTTCTTGGTTCACAAAAAATCAGCATCGTCGCAAATAACCTTCTAAGTGCGCTGGGAAATTAAAATATGGAAGCCACTACAAGACATGGTGATAAATTATCATCGGTCTCTATTAAACCTCTTTCAAGAGCTGCTTTTCAAAATGTAGGGTGTAATACACCATTGGCTATGTATAAATCTTCAAAGCAGGTAGGCCCAGTAATATGACATAAAAGCAGGCGTAGGTAGTATCTCTCTTCTTCAGCTGGATTAGCATAAACAAGTCAACCAATCATTGATTTATGTTCCCTGGTCCTCCAACAATGGTTGCTCCGATTCCATGTAAAATGTTTGGGAAAATCCTTATACAAATATTTTCTCGCATTGGAATCTTCTTTATTCTTCTTGAAAAATGCCATCAACATTGAATTTTTTCCTTTCTCCCTATCAACAAAGTCTTCCATTCTGTTACCGTCTTTGAACCTAACCAACTGTTGATTCGGGAGATGTATTTGCAAGGCCATCGCACAAGGGTGGATTTTTGAAAGAGGAAAGCTAAAAACTCGCCATAATGCCTCAGGAGGGGATACATAACGTGCGTCTTGAAACTTTCGTATCTCATTAATAACAATATTTTCTTGGTCTTTATCAATATGGATAACTTGTTTGTCATGGCCCTTATAAACATATTTGAAGAGGTACTTCACAGACTTTATACTCGAACAAACCTCAACGTTGATATGACAATTAAACATCATTAACAACTTTGGGTTGTATGGAGCCACCCATCTGTTATCCAATGTTTTATTTCTTACAGTCACCTCAATTCCATTATTTCTCCTTCTATATAATGGATATGAGTTCTCTCCTTGTGATGTCTTTTCATTGAATTGCCTAGGATATCTGAAACGACATATTTTTGGCACACCCTGCATACATGGACTTTTTTCTCGTAAGCTACCACAAGGACCGTGCATCATGTGACTTTTGACAAGATCACGCATTTCAGGAAACCTTATTGGGTCGGGAATTTCCGCACACACAAGTTTGTCATAATCGTCTGGATTATTCATCTTATGTCCAGGTGTCATTATTAAGAGGAAATGTGCATGTGGCAATCCACGCTTTTGAAACTCTATCACATACACATATGACCCCACAACGCCGATTATATGTCTCTGGAATAACTGTACCTTCAGATCCTCTAACTTAGCATGAAAAACTCTTGCAACAAGGTCTAGTCGATCTTGAGCTGACTGTCCAGGCAATAACTCATCATCGATTTCTTTCCATTTTGGGTTGCACGTCATTGTAAGAAATATATCAGGCCTCCCATCATCTTGAACTAACGCCATGACATCCAGAAATCTTCGTCGCATGTCACGTGGACCTCCAATGAAACTTGTAGGTAACACAACTCTTTGTCCAACCCTGCTTGGTTGAGCCTCACCAGCATTGAAGCAATCAACAACGCCCTGGTATAAATCAGCTCTAATTTTGGTTTGGTTCTTTTCAACAAAAACCAAACGTGTAGTCTCAATCTTTATATAGGTATCTACTGCAAACTGCTAGAACAATCTCCCTCCCATCAAAATCACATTATCATTCGACCGTATCTGGAACTTGTAACAATAGTACTCCCGCATACTTACAGTATTTCTGCCTTTTTTTGAAGTAGATTCTGTGATATCATAATTTATGTGAAAAATATAAATTTAATATCCATATATTTAAGGCAATATCTGTTACATGTTTTAAATATGTAAAAGAATGTTAAAGGCGTACCTTCTGAACCTTCATCATTGTCTTCATTGTCACTATGAATTTAATCCATGGTGACCCCATATCTTGGTATTTTAGGATGTCATCCAGACTCACCATTGGGAAAGAATAAAGGATACGACAAAGGATCATAACAACCAAAGTGAGGTTGAATTTCAGTACGATAGTTAGACCTCCCATAGACAATAATACTTCTTTTATATGTAGTGATGTTGTCATTTCCTTCAACCCAAATACCAGCAACCTATGCAAAGGTGTAGTTCAATAGGGTGATTAATATGATATGTATAATAATAAATATGACACATTTAATTTTAAAATGAATAAAGATAAATGTTAATATTCACACCTCAGATGTGGTCGACTTATTGTACACCCTTTGGTCAAGTTCCACCGATGCATTCAAAGTCACTCTATAATTATCAAGCGGTCCTAGATCAGAAAGACGTTTAAATGTTCTAACGTACGGATTCGAAGCTAGAATACGTGTTAGTTTTTGGATGATTCTTCTATTAACATTCTTCCAGGAGGATCTCTGTGATATTTCAGCTTCACCTTCATAAAAATACAACTGTAAATACCTCGATTTCCCATCCCTTGAAATTAACTGATCGATATTATGACAGAGTGTTCCGTGCGCAGAAAAAGTGTAAACTCCAGAAGTCATATTGGCCAATTCTTCATCCACCTTTACACCGATGCGAAAGAAAAGTTTGAGTTATACGCCCTTATATTGTACCTGAAGCTTTCTTCAAGCTGCTCTTGCTTTGTGAAGAGTTGGTGCAATTCTGTGGGAATAGGGGAGTATGCCAGTTTTGTCTTCCTACTCATGCAACAAAAGGTAGGGAATTCATATTGTAGTCACTTTGCTCCACAATAAACACAAGGGTTTTGAGCCTTTAATGTACGATGTTCCATACGGATATTTTCGTAAACAAAATCATATGGATCCTCCTGAAAGGTGTATACTTTTCTTTTTGTCATCATAGTTCGTTCCTTTCTTCGTTGATAATATTCTTTATTATAAGTACCCGTCCTCTGAGCAGCACTTATAACACTCACAGAGGAATCTTCGTTGATATTTGTTTCGTTTGTCTCCATTGTAGTGCAACTTGTGAGTGTTGTAGGTTGACTACATCCTTCACCGTTAACTATCCTTCTCATTTTGTTTTTCTCCTTTTTCGTGCATAATAGTTTCTATTGTATCTTTTTCGATTTTCTACAAATATATTGTTTGGATAAATAGTCATATATTATAAATGCAAATATATACTCATATAAACGACATACCTTTATCTATATCTATCGGGTTTTGGGAATTATCACAATTTTCATTTCCCTTATCTACGGTCCTCACTGAACACTATAGTGGAAATGTTAAGAATAAGCACATATTATATCATCAAGAATGTAACCTTTTGTAATGTAGACCATGTGATTTAGTAGTCATGTATGTGTATGTTTCAGAAAGCAACACAACCCTTAATATATAACCAACTATACTAAAAACTTGTAATCCAAAAACACAATAGAAGAAACTAATACATAGTTAAAAGAAAATTTTCATAGATATCCAAAAATTATTATTTATCAATTCATAAGTCAACACACGAAAAATAAACCACACATGAAAAAATTCACCACAATATGTCTAACATTAATGTAGATCAACTATAAAAGCAACGCACTCGTAAAAGTTGTCAAAACTTCAAAACAAAAACACCACCAAATGTCTCACACGGAATTAAAAATTCTTCTAGGCATATTTATGATGTTAAATGCTTCCGGCATCTTTGGTTGGAACTCTACGTTGCTTAGTTTAGTTGATATCAAAATATTCACTGAAAATAAGATAAAAACTATTAAAATGTATTGATTTAGTTATTTTAATATCACTACAAGTATTATAATTTTCTAGAAAAAACTTACTTAAATCCAAATGAACCAATTTCACCCGAGAAACAAATATTATATACTTTCTCTTTATCACATAGACAGTCTTCACAATCTGATGGCGTGTTCGGTCGGTTATATATAGTTTCATCTTTATTATACCCCCCCTATTTATAATCAAATATTTCCAAAGTCACATAATTTTGTTTTAGTGTAATAATAATAATAATAATAATAATAATAATAATAATAATAATAATAAACACTTACGGCCCATCTTGAAGATATAAAGTGAACGAAGTTAACGTCAATACACCAAAGTAACGGGAATAGTTTCGCTTGCCTTTGATGCTTTTTCCAACAATATCTAAAAATAGCGATAATTAAAAGGATAACTTGTTATTATTTTAAAAACTTTAGAATGCTAAAAATATATATAAGTTATTAAATTTACCGATCATCATTTTTCTCTCTGTCCGATCCTCTACTAAACTTTTTATCGTGGGAACCAATGGAAAAACCGGAAACCATGATATGATAGCATCGGCCAAACGATTAAACCGTGTGTTATTGCTGATCTTAATCATCAAATCACCACGTAATAAATTGTATTGTTGATACCTTGGATACTCAGCATAGGTTGGTTCGATTTGGAAATGGTTTAAAGAAAACACACCACCCAATAGATTCCCTCCATAAATAAAACGCATCATTTGTTGTGGAACAACTGCTACCAATTTCTCTCTCTAATAGAAAATGTAATATTTGTATAAACAAAATACTTATGATAAATTATGAAAATGAAAATAAGATATAAATAGTTTTTTAAACATACATTTTGATCAAAGAGAACAATGAAGAGTTTGTTTGCTCTTGAGTCTCTCCAAATGAAATCCACACGAACGGGTGTCAAAATATACCACAAATGGTAGTTTAGTAACAATGAAAATGCATCAACGTAAATATGATCATTCATGATTCTACAAAATGAAAGTCGGATGTGTCAAACTGAATTTCAAAAACTGCCCCTTATGTTAATATAAATATGGAAAAACCTGAACTATTTATTATTTATTATTTTATAATATATTATTCTTAATTTTGTTCCTGATTTCCAATTGAAATTTTAAACACGTAAATATGATAAAAATGGAAAGACTCCCCTTAATTAACAAATACATAACTAATTTCTATTCATTGTGATTAACATAAAGCTGTTATCGAGAAAATGATACAATATAATAATATATATGGTTGTGAGTTTTGCTCATGTTTCTTTAAAAGTGATTTGGAAAATATGGTTGTTGCCAGTGTAATATATCTATTATTGTAACTTGTAACGAGCTTCATGTTGTTTAATTTTGGAACTAAAAATGCGAAGTGATTGCAAAATAGTGAAAAAAGAAAATATAAGTGAAAGGACAATATATGTGCTATCAGTTGCAAAGAAAATTGCAGGGATGCTTTTATTTAGTTCATTGTCAAGAAAAGTTATGAACATGATGGAGAATATGATAGTTCAAAGCTTTAATAAAAACATATATGTTTTCAAAACAATATTCACTCATAAATTAGAAATAAATTAGAACATGATATGTTTTCAAAACAATATCCACTCAAATACACAACCACACAATGTCCCGACATATACATATACAAACCATACATATATAGGATGTCACAGAAATAGGCTTTTGTGATGCGGATTATAAGCAATAATATAAAAAATGCAATCTTTGACTTTCTTTTGGTGCATTAAAACGAAGGAAATTGCGTCAATTGTTTATTACTTATCTTTTTCAAAAATAAAAAAGCTAAATACATTTAATTTCGATATGTTTTTTTTTATTTTAATTTTGTGTAATTTACTTGAGGTATTGTTAAACAAATTCGTGTAATAAAAGTTGTATTCTACAAACATATTTTGAGGCTTTATAATAGATGTAATCGTCTTTAATTAGATAAAATAAAACATAGAAACATATTTGTATTCATGTACATATGGAAGGAGACAGTTTCAATCCATGGAATTAGAACATGATATATTTTAGAAACTATATTCACTCATAAATTAGAACATGATATGTTTTCAAAACAATATTCACTCAAATACACAAGCACACAATGTCCCAACATATACATATACAAACCATGCATATATAGGATGTCACAAACAAATAAATACAAACATATATACATATTATATACATGTAATGTATTATTTGAGAGAAGAAGATTATCATTTAAAACAAAAGAAGTATATCACTTCAAACAGAAGAAGTACAAAATAAAATATCATACACACTTCAGGTTATAAGTGATAGAAGAAGTAATCACTTCAAACAGAAGAAGTAAAAAATAAAATATCATACACACTTTAAGTTATAAGTGATAGAAGAAGTAACAGAACCTGAATTTGTATCAACAAATGCAATGCAATGCAATGAAGTAGTCTTCTTGTTCCTGATTCTTTGTTTGTGAATTGTGTGCTGTAGGAGTAAAAAATAAGAACACATATTAGATTTATAGGTGGAAAAATGTATTCTATGATATAATTTCGGAAACTGATAATCATTCCAAAATTAGGCAAATTCAGATCGAACCATAAATACTAACATTAAAAAAATATACTAAAATAATTTAAAAATCTGTTTAATAACTGTCATAAGTCATACCAAAAATATTTTAAATCATACCAAAATTATAATATTTTAATTAAGATAATATAATACTAAAAATATTTTAAATCATACCAAAAATATTTTAAATCATACCAAAAATAATTAAAAACTGTTTTATCAGTAGCCTTCACTAAAAAATAATTAAAATTTCTGATTTTTTTTTATTTCGCAAAATTGGCATCATTTTCAAAGATAAAAAATTGTATGGGATTTTTTTTGAAAAACGTGTAAGCAATAAAGTTTTATTAAAATCATTAGTTGAAAAGTTATTTTAGTATATTTTTTTAATGTTAGTATTTATGGTTAGATCTCAATTTGCTTAATTTTAAGTCATAACAAAAATATTTTAAATCATACCAAAATTATAATATTTTACATAAGATAATATAATAGTAAAAGTATTTTAAGTCATACCAAAAATATTTTAAATCATACCAAAAATAATTAAAAACTGCTTTATCAGTAGTCCTCACTAAAAAATAATTAAAAATTGTGATTTTTTTTATTTCGCAAATTGACATCATTTTCAAAGATAAAAAAATTGTATTGGATTTTTTTTTGAAAAACGTTTAAGCAACAAAGTTTTATTAAAATCATTAGTTGAAAATGTTGTTATTTTTTTATTAAGCCTTATTAAAATCATGATTTTTTTTCAATGTGTAATGAAAAGTTTCATAAATAAAAATGGAAAAAGTGAAATAAAATTAGATTATTTTATTAATATATATAGCAAAATTTATTTATCTTATTTATAAAATAAAACAACAAAGAACAGGATACAGTTTCAGCACAACAGCCATGCCCAGATTCTAATTGGTTATTAGTGCATATAGCAAAAAGTGCAATAAAATTAGATTATTTTATTAATCTATATAGCATAATTTCTTTATCTTATTTGCATAAAAAATTACTATTTTATGAAACATAAAACGGCATAAGATCAGCGGACAGTTTATGAAACAAAGTTAACAGGAATTTTTTTGTTGGAGTGGAGTTTCAGATGTTTACCCCTTGAGGAATATCTTCCCATGATGCAAGTTCGTCAGATGTAACAAATCCAACAACTTCAACACAACCTGTGTCAAATTCAAACATAAAATTTACATTGCTTTTAGTGATATTACCGAATATATATTAAATGAACAAAAAAAATAGAAAGATGCATCACCTAATAATCTTGAAATTGGATGTGTTTTTCAAGTTCTATAATGAGAAATGATAACAAAAACTGAGTGTGTATACATAATTACATATAGACTTAAAATAAATGTAATGTCAGGAACTTAAAAATGGAGTCAAATTAAGAGCTTACCACAATCTGGTCCTTCTTTGTCATCAGTGACTAAGTACTCATGGCCATGTCATTCCAACCAGTTGCGAATGCCTAATGCATTTTCTGCACAACCCAAGAAATTGGGGTTCATCTCAGCATACTCATGTGCCTTGTAGAAAACACCTACAATCTTCTTTTTGCTAGGAGAAGCCTGCAGAAGCAATCATCTCTCTCCTACTCATCATCTTTTACTTCTGTTTAATCAAGGCCACAAAAATTAGATCATTTGTAATTCCCTTACATCATCACTGCTTTGGATCAAAATAAGATTCAACTGGTAATTGTAAAGAATTCATGAACCTAAAATTAAACTCAACACAATTTTAGACATGCTTTATCTGACATGATTGTAAATAGCAAAGGAGACTGAAATGTACAGATGGATAAGAAATTCTCAGAATATGAAGCACTTTTGGTGGAACATAATATGCACTTCCTACGATACCATTATCAGAAAACCCAAAATCAATAAGCTTCATATGAGAATCTTCACTTTTTCACATGAGAAGGAAGCTAAAAAGAAACAATAATATATGTACAGTTCCCATTAACAAATTAAACTCAGAATTTGAATATAAATTACTCGATTGAGCAACATGGATCAACTCTTGCGACTGAGATGCCGATTAGGGTTCGTGGAGGGAAAATGAAGCATCTATGTTGCTGCTTAACAGTGTTTTCCTCTTGGAGTACATCTTCATCATCTGGATACGAATGTTCCGATGTTGGAACAGACCGCATGCAACTACAAATCGATCCATCTTAAGAAAAAACACAGATTAAGATTTTTTAGTAAAGTTAATAGCCATTACAAGTGTATAAAGAATATATAGTTATAGAGGAGATATCAAGATTGAAAAAGTAGTGATTATCAAATAAGTAGATACCATATTTATTAGACAGTCATTGTCATTTGGTGCACACTCCCCTATATGGCTCCAGCTGATACCAGGGTCTTCAGGAGTGGAAGTGGCATCAGAAAGCAACTGAAGGGCTTTAGCAAGAAGATTAGGTGGGAAGAAAGACCAAATGGTCCTGTATGTGTTAGAGAAGTTGTCAGTATAGGGAAATCCAAATACAGTAACCTACATAAAGAAAAAAGCTAAATCTTAAATCTGAAAAATGATAGAGTGAGTAGTGTTTGGAAAATGAAATTAATAATGAAGTTACCTGTGTCATAAATCCAACTATATACACGGAGAAAACATGAACGCAAAACCGATCTAGCAGCAAAAGCTAGAAAATGTTAATCCACCAACATATGGAATGGATTTAGGTTTTTTACATATAACTTGGAAAGAAAAACGACTCTTAATTACCATGTTTAATTGGAAGAGAAAGAACACAAGAAACACAACTTCAAAGCTATTGTTCATGAAGAAATCAAACTGAATTTGAGATATAACTTCATATATGTAAACAGAACCGAATATAAAAATGACAGAGTTGTATATTTGAAATGGAAAGAAGGAAGAGAAGTACTCACAGTTGGGTGATGTGGCAAGTAGAATTGGGGAAATTACAATCGCATTTGCATTTGATGCCAGGATCACACACCGAAGGCATTTTCCAGCGCCTCAACCACATAGCATCCATGCGTGTTAGTGGTTACCATTTAGGGAAAAGATAAATAGACATTGGAATGGAGATAGTAGTCACCGTTTGGGGAAGGGAGAAAGAGATCAATTCAGAAATTACCCTGAAAGCACCAAATCAGTCATCAATTTTTAAACGTAAACCACTTTCAAGTAAATAGAGATGTAGAGAAAGAGAGAGTGATAGAAGAAACAGAAGGCGGTGATCGAAGTAAGTCACCGTTCGAGATAGGGGAAGAGCAAGTAAATAATAGTCAGGGTGAAGGAAAGTATCGAGAGTAAGGGAAAGCATCGATAAAAATATAGTCTGGAACAACAATGTTTAGATACCTGTTCGGTGTTCAGGGCATGATTGTGCTTGTAGTTTCTGATCTTCGTCGACAGATGATGACGGTTACAGAGGATAAATGACTTGGGAAAAGAAATCAATGATGTTCATTTGAAGATGTCGATGGTAGTTTTGTACATTTTTGTGTGTGTGGTAACTAATGGGGTGAAATTAGTAAGAAAAAAGAGAGCTCGATGATAGCAATTGTAGGTGATGGTGGTGACAACATATTTACTGAAAACAAAAGACAGAGAATGTATGAGAGAGGTCGTGAGGTGTGTGAGTTTGTAATCACAGTGAACGGAGACATACCTCGTTGTACGGATCTCGAATACACGATAATTTGAAATTAGGGTTTCCATTTCATTTTGGTGGGGGAAGTCGGCAACCGTGGACCCTCGGTGGGAGACGTTGGTGGAGATCACTGCATCTTTGGTGGACACGATGAGAATAGGTTTGATGACAGCTGTGTTTAGGAGATTAGGGTAAGGTCCATGTAGTGTAATACGTATATGATCCGTGTAGTGTAATACGTATAAGATTGGTTATATGCTTAATATTATTGTACATGAGGTAATATATGTTGTACCTCTTAATTTTCAAGAAATGAGCATTATCCTTAATAATATAGTAAAGATACATATATATATATATATATATATATATATATATATATATATATATATATATATATATATATATAAAAGGTTAGAATTAAATGTTAGAATTAAATGCGAACTCCAAATATTGTGTGAATGTGTGACCAAATTATGATCATTGGATTAAATAAAATTAATGACTATGATTTTAGAGTGCATTGTATTAATGTAGGATAGCAATTACTATATAATTACAATCAATTAATTCTAAGGTTATTAAAGAGTAATTATAACATTTTATTAAATAAGATAAAAGAGAAGTAACTATATTTTAGTAAACCAAGTCAAATATATTAATAAAATCCAGATTATTATTTTTAAAACCAAATCACACAAAATCACGTATTGAAAATTTTGCAATATTTTTTTACACGATAATCACGTAAAACGAAATAGATTTCATTCTTTAAGAATTACTTAGTTTCATAACATATTTCTTTCTATAAAAACTAGGCAATTTCACTATTAGTTTTACAAAATATTAACAAAATGTTTTTATACAATGTTCACAAAGTACAAAACTAAAGAATCGGGGCATTTGATTTTTTAAAAATCATGAATTTACTTGAAACTTATTTCATTCTTTAAGAATCACATTTCATTCTTTAAGAATGCATTGACTAATAAATATTTTGAACTACTGTCATAAAACTAATGAGATATGTGAAAAAAAAATTCATTCTTTAAGAACGATCCATTAATACTTTATAACATATTTTTGAAGTATATGCAATATTCTTTGTACACAGATTTACCAAAACTACAGGCCAACTGAAAATTCTTGAAGAACAAGAAAATATTATTTTTACACATAAAAATATGTTACAGTGTGTAACATAATCTTGAAGAATATGCAATAAACTAATATATTCTTTTTATGAATTCTGAAAGAATGAGCATTCTATTCGGCACTATATCTGAGTTTTAGTCACCAACTTTCTTGATACGTATATTAAAGAATTCAATTTAAACTACTTACCAAAATTATAGGAGCGAAGTTAAATGAAATGAGTTACAATAATTATAGGATTATAACTGAAAATGCATTTATTGATTTATATGTTAATTACTATCATACATTTATTAAATGATTGGTCAAAAATTGCTTATACAATCACACAATATATAGTGTTTATATATGAACCTAACTATATATATATATATATATATATATATATATATATATATATATATATATATATATATATAATCTTGTAGAATTAATTGTTATACAAATTCGAAACGAAATAATCGTAGTAAATAACCAAAATATTTGTAGGAGAAAATGAATTCAATAGTATTATAACAAGAATTAAATAAAGTACTTTTTAAATAATACCCTCTTTGATTAGACTTGGAATACAATCAATACAAGCATTTTGAGAAAGGATGATCTGAAAATATAGAGACTTTGAACATCGAGATGTAGATAGAGAAATAGTAGGAGTTTTTCTAGACATAAACTATACATTTGAGAGAGTGAAATTTTTCGAATGTCTTAAACACAAAACTTTAACTTAATTTATAGAGGGTCTTGAGTTGGATAATGGTAACCGGTTGTTTTACCGGATCTTCATTTCTTGAATTTTTTTCTCAATGATTTGTCCTTTGTCATAGTTGGCCTACAATATAATTTCTTCTTTTAGTTATCTTTGTATTCTAGTAATAATTTGATTCTTGAAAATGGGGTTATGGCCGACATAACAATTTCTTCTTTTGGCAAAAGGCTTTTTGTCGTCAAGTCATGATTGAGATTAATTAATGGAGTCTATGATGACCTGCAATAAGTCTTGATAATATCTTGATAAAAAAAATTTGAGAATCATTTTCACACACGCTTTATACCCACATAGTGTTTATACGTATTTCCACAATTTTGAAAAACTACTAATCTTGAAAAACATTGAAATGAAATGCCCTACATTGAAGGTATACACCAAAATAAAATTTAGAATATTTTATTCTTCGTATGGATCATCAAACGGGTCTTGAGCGTATTGAAGTAATTGAGTTCTTGGAGTAGATTCATTTGATTTTGTAGAGGATCTACGAATATCTTGTAATAAACGGTGAAGTTCTTCTTGTGATGAACCGGCAGCGTGAAGAATTCTAGCTACTAGTTCAGGATCAGGGAGAGGAGCATTCTTGATCTCTTCTATTTTTTCTTTTGTAGAATGATGGATTTATTGATAACATTTGATCACCTTCGTTGAGTTGGCTTGAGGAAGTTTGATTTTTTCCCACCATTTTATTCTATATTGGTAGTTAAGCCATGGAGGAGAAATGTCTTTTGATTCTTGATAATTATAAGTCCATGACATAATCCATGGAATTTTGAATAACATGAAAAATTGTAATAGATATTCAAATTCAGGGATAAGTTGAACAAATAACTCTTTAAATTTGAGAAATCCATTCAAAACTTCATCAGGTAGACATTTTGGTATTAAGCCCATGAACTTATACCAATTAACAAACCATTTGGGGTATTCATAGTCAAAGTTTAGATCAAAAAAGATAAACCAAGAATGTGAATAATTGCGTACAAGGAATGCTTTGGACCAGGCCTCTTGATAATCATAATAGGAATATTTTGGGTAAGCATGATATCCTACTAAAATCTTTTCGGAATGGGGATTTATTGACCAATATTGATGTAACATTCTATTTTGGAATTTAAATAAATAAGATTAAATAAAATAAATAAATAAATAAACCCCGGGATGAGAAGTATATTTCATATTATTTTATTGAAGCCCTAAATCCATAATAGTTTATTAGTGTTAGCCTTGGGAGTAAAATTTTATAAATTCGGGAATCTATAGTCTAAATGGTATTATCTGGACTTGTGTTGAATAGATTTTTGGGAAGCAAGGGCTAAAGGGTAAAATCCGGATTCAGTTTGTGATGTTTAGGGAAGGAGGGGTCGATTGTGTAAAAGGGATGGAAGTTTGAATATGGAGTCGGGTTAAGATAGTTGACTCCCGCTCCCCCTCGTCGCATCTTCAAAACCCTAACCCTAAGTTTTTGCAGCCGCCACTTGTAACTCCTCAGCCGCCACCTCACTTCTTCGTTCGCTTTTCCGATCAGACAAGGCCGCCAAGCGGCTACCTCGCCATTGAAGCGCCACCACCACAGCCTTGCTGCCGGATATCGTGGGCTACCGGAGAACCACCGAGGACCGTGGAACACACTGTGGGCGTTAGAGCTGGCAATGGGTCGACCTGGTTTGGGTTCGGGTTCAACCCATTTATTAATTGGGTTGAAGATTTCAAGTCAATCCAACATTTTTATTTAAATAGGTAGATATTTCCAACCCAACCCAACCTTTCAGATAAATGGGTTGTCACCTGGTTGACCCGTTTATGTAAGTCCCAACCCAAACTATTAAATAAATGGGTTAAACCTGGGTTAACCCATTTAAAATAAAAACGTAAATAAATTAACTAAACACCACGTCAATTATTTCAAAACTTAAATAAACTTTTAAAGTATATTAAAAGCACAATCCCAATTCACAAATACAAGGAAATTATTCAAAAAACATTCAAGATATGTAATTTGTAAATGATTTTGAAGAGTGACTAGTGTTGTCGGTGCAAAGAAAAAAGATAGGAATTAGTTCAAAACTTAGATTAATATATGGTAAATATATATATATATATATATATATCTATCTATATATATATTTACCATATATATATATATATATATATATATATATATATATATATATATATATATATATATATATATATATATATATTAAAGTTAAATGGGTTTGTGGGTTGAAAATGGGTTGACAACATTTACCCAACCCAACCTATTTAATTAAATGGGTTAGGCGGGTTGACCCATTTATCCTAAATGGGTTGAAAATCTTAACCCAACCTGCTAATTTTGGGTTGGGTTCGGGTTGGGTTGGTGGGTTGGGTCGATTTTTGTCAGCTCTAATGGGCGTCGATGCGTGGGTCACGAGCAACCAGAAGCTCTCGGTAAGTTATCTACGACCTATCTCTCATTTCCTTGTTCATTCCGGCGAGTGTTACGTGGGGTATGCCCTAGCTGCCGATGCCGGCCTCGGCCGCTGTTTCCGTTAACTTCGATGTTGCAAGTCGTCAAGTCGGTGGCTGAGGGTTGTTGTTTCTCGTCGTATTTTACGTGTGATGTTGCTAGAACTCATGAAGAATGTTGGCCAGAGGTGAGGCGAACCACCATGGCAGCTAACCATGGTGGCTGCCGTTTTCTGCCACCCATTGTCACCACCAGCCACCGTGGGAGGTGGTTGTGTGTGTATATATTGTGTGTGTGTTTTAGTGGTGAATGTTATATCATCTTTTCTTAGTCAACAGTGAAGAAGATCACCACCACCGCCGTGAGGTGGTGGCTGCCGCCGTGAGCCGCCGTCGACCACCATCGCCCAAGGTGGCAGTTGGTGGTGATCGACCTAGTGAAACCCTATTCAGCCTAAAACTTAACTTTGGACCTAATTGACACGTGTTTGGGTTACAAACCATAATTAGGGTTTAGAAAACCCTAATCTTAGAAACCATTATTTGGGATTTATCGGGACCTACGTTTGGACCGTTGGATTTGGAATTTTGAATTACGCCCGACCACATTGTATGATTGGTCTAGTGGAGTTATGTACTTAATGGGTTAAGTAAGAACACTTAACCCTAATAGTCATTTTATGTTAAAACCCAAATTATGATTGGGCTTCAACTTGGGCCTTTCTTTTGGGCTTCGGTGTTTGGATTCTTGTTCGGCCATCTGAGAACAAGTGTATGGACTATATTATTTGGATGGGCTTTAGGGTAAGGTCCATGTAAGGGGTTTGGGCCCAATTTGGAAAAATGGGCCATAGTTGCGCCTTGGTTGATTAATTGACTTTTGGGCCTTCCGAGTATGAGTTGGGCCTTAGTCTTGGACCAAGCTATGTTAGGAGTAAATGGTCCTTTCACCCCAAGTGTGTATTTATGGTGGTGCATTGAAACCCAAATGGTTAATTGACTTTTGTTTTGACGATTGACAGTTCGGGAATTTGTCAGCCAGCAACTACAGAATTATCCACGGGACTTCAACAGTGCGAGGTGAGTTTCCTTCTGGATTGAACGGGTCGAAGGCACCAATGCCGGCCCGTGTAGTTTATATCTTCTTGATAGGAACACGGAGTGTGGGCAGGGCCCGTATCTCATTATTACCTGAGTATAGATATCAGTCAGATTGTTGGATTGCTATACTTTTTGTCTGTGTGATACCTGTATGTGTTGTTAGGAATGTGAGTGTGGGTGAGGCCCATATCTCATCATTAGTTGAGTGTGGGCGGGGCCCGTATCTCATAGAGTGTGGGCGAGGCCCATATCTAATCACTATTCGAGTGTGGGCGGGGACCGTATCTTATCATTAGCTGAGTGTGGGCGAGGCCCGTATCTCATAGAGTGTGGGTGAGGCCTGTATCTCATCATTATTCGAGTGTGGGCGGGGCCCGTATCTCATCATTACTTGAACTTTGGTTATTGGTATGTTTGGTAGATTGTTGTACTGGTTGTCTGTGTGATACTTGTATGTGTTTATATATGTATGTGAGTGTGGGCAAGGCTCGTATCTCATTATTATGCGAGTGTGGGCGGGGCCCGTTATGCGAGTATGGGCGGGGCCCGTATCTCATAGAGTGTGGGCGAGGCTCATATCTCATATGTGCATGATCTGTGTGGTATGTGGTAGTTTGGGGAGACTCATTAAGCTTCGTGCTTACGGTTTTCAGTTTTGGTTTCAGGTACTTCGGTTTTCAAAAAGATGAGCTCGGGATGATTGCATAGCACACACCATATGTTTCCACCTTGGATGTTTTACTTTGATTTTACAAAAATTGATACAAAGATTTTTATGTATATGTTTGGACGTCATTGATAAATATTGTTTGATCTATTATTAAAAATGAAATTTTTGGGACCATATTTATGGATGTTACACTTGAGGGGAAATGACCTTGAGAATTTGAGCTTTACTGTAATCAATAGTTCCTTCAGATAAATTGGAACGATGGGTGAAACATATAGAACCGGATTCTTAATGAATGATTTGATAATATTCTCTTGTCTTATAAGGATCAGAATAAAAGGTTTTCCCTCGACCAAAAAGATGATCAGTGAGAATATTAAATCCTTGATTTAACTTTGAAATCTAAAAGTCTTCAAGAATTTGAATTCTTTCAATATTTGGATTTATAATATATGGAGTCTTAGTAGAAAGAATAGTTTTTTGAGTTCCCAAAGGAGACGAGGATGGAGATTTGATAAAAGTACTAATAGTCTTGATTGGAGAAATATTAGAAGTGACAAGTTTTAATTCTTTGTTTTGAAGAACATCAGTAAAAAGTACAGATTTGTTTTCTAGAGATAAAGGAGAAAATCTATTTGGACGAGGATGAAAAGGTACAAGTTTTTTAGAAATAGACTTCTTGTTATCTGTTTTGGAGGATGAAGACGATGAACTCATTTCCCCTGTAAAAATTCACGAGAAAGAAAATCTGGAAGTGAATTATTTTCTCCTTTAATAAATTCTATTTCAAAAT